TGTGAAAATGTTTATGTAACATTCTAACTCACCTATACACTTTACAACCACACCTATTTTCTGTGCTCAAACACTTGAACTAATTCCAGTCTCTCAACTGGGGATGGACTTCAAAAGCGGTTGATGTTTGATTCTTACTTGGTGCTTGCATGATTCTTACTTCGTAGCATGGATTTTTTGTCATATTGTTTTTAGATAGTGGGAAACCAACTAGTATAGTAGTGGATGAGATAAAGAACATAAACCAGGCATCAGGTTTGAACAAACTCCTTTCAAGGAGCTCGATGGAGACCATAATTTATTGACAGCTCTTGTACTTCGAGCAATCACAAGTGAGGCCAGATTACCTGTATTAAAAAATAGTGTATCTATAATAAATCTAATCTTTGATAAAAACTCATTCAATTGTAAAACATTTATTTTCATAACAATCACCTAAATACAACAATCTCAACAAAACACAGAATGTAAAAAACAAAATTTACTCCAGGACCATTCAAAGATTGTAAGTTACATATGATTTCACTTTACATATTTTTGGATAATGTGATACCTATGATACACTTGAAACATGGCATGTAGACACAATGTACATGTTTATTAGTTAATTTGATCCTGATATAATGCTTCAATGAATGGCCCTAGTATATACTCAACACTTGCATTTAAATATAGTTTGATAAAGTTGAGACCAACAATTGAAATCAGACAACTTCTAAAACCTAATAAGTCTAATAACGCAACAATATTGCTCCATTTCGATCAATAAAACTGACCTGAGGTAAAACTACTCTGCTATAAAAGACATTAAACAGTATATATTTGCATTAAGAGTCTTTGGAGCCTAGTAACGGTCTTTGGTAACTCATCAAACAGTTACAAAACTACAAATTTCCACCATTGCGCCCAAGATATACAAATTAGATTACTTTGGTATTTAAAAAAATATTTTGGGGTGGTAAATAACTATTCAGCAGCTGTTTGAAATGAACATTGCTCTTATGGCGGGCAAATCTAAGATGGCTATTAGCCTACAAAGACTCTTAAACATTATATGAGAGCTAAGAACAATAACAAGTTTCATGCAATATATAGAACGGCTTTAGATTAAACTATTGAATATGAATACTTCTTCATTCAAACACCAATCAAATACATAAATGGATAGTTTCCAACAACCATAACCTATGATGTTCAATGGAGGTTAATAAATAATAAAATGTTTTTAATAGGTAGTATAGAACATATAAAATAAAAGTTAACTTCTAAAAAGTTTCATCAAGCTTTGTTACTGATGAGATGACTGATATATTGACTTTTGGGCCTTAAAAGATTAAAAAAGTGTTGCACTACTTGGCTGACAAACAGTTAGGCCTACTCGCTGTATCTTAAATGCATATAAAATTCTTGCTAAAAGGTACTAACAAAACAGATTTTAAGGTATTTGTTTCATAATAGAAGTGGGGTTGGGTTAAGAAATTTCCTGTAAGGTAAAAGGTTAGAATTGCATTACTACGAAGATGGAGACTGACTGTTACACATAGGCCTATCACAACAATGTAGCTGAAAATATTACATCTTTGTCCAATGGTAACTGAGTGTAAACATGTTTTAAGTGATTTACTTTTACTATTTATTATTTGCATCTAGTACACTGAAAACCTGGAATCGTGGTTTCATCTACGATCTACAATGTGCGTAGTACATGAATAGTTAGTCCTACTTAGGGGTTTGGAATATTTTTTAGATTGAAATACAATATTTACTGATAATTTCCTACTGCATTTAAAGGCACAAGAACTTAAGGAAATCACAAAGCTTTAGCTACTATCTATCGGCATCTATTAGCGTGAATCTTTTCTTAGTTGTGTATTGTCATACTGTATTTAAAACTACGTTTGTTAAAGCTTTCTCAAAATCAAGGCAAATTTACTTTATTTGAGACTCATAAAACAGCAACAATTTTAGTAAGAATATTGTTACCTCTTAAAGTTAATGCATGTTAGAATTTTGAAACTTAGGGGCGAGTGTATTGAATGAACTGAGTTTAAACTAGCGTTTTATGGATTATGGATTGGTTCTGACATAACTATTGGAATTTAAATCTGTAAAAATAATTAGACAGCACCAAAAAGCATAACTAACAGCAAGTTAAGCTGAACTATCTATAATATTAAAACGAAACAGTGTTTTTTTATTTCACGATTCTGGATCAACCACTCGACGGATTTTCATGATTTTCGTGTTGAATGAAAGACAATTTAAAGAACTAGGGAATGTCGAAGTCATTATTTTAGTTTAGGGTCCCAGTTTTTTAGAAATTAAGTTTTAATTTTTAAAAAGTCTAGCAGCCGACGCTAAGATTCTAAACTAGCTTTTGGCATAAAATGATTTGCTTAACATAACAGCTGTAAACATTCAGCATTTGTGTCACAAATTCAGCATTTGGATAAAAATGTAAAGACATACTTAGGTTGACTTATTTATACTATGTGTAATGCTAATCATTGATACGTTCAACTCTTCTGTAAGAGGATGACAGATTAATTAAATATACATATTAAAATACTAGGATGTTCAAATTATTTTTTAAAGCAATCTTTGTAATCTTCGATTTGTTTTAGAGCAATATAATTTGTTTTAACTAACAGCTGGTTAAATATAAACTATGGAACTATGAGGTTATTTTATTTACTCTTATTTTGTCATTGATTATAGGTAATAAGTAAGATTAGTAGAGATAATTAGACCACAGTTTAAAATAGTTTAGACCAAAATTAATTAAACCACAGTACAAATCGAGGCTCTGTACACGAGTCTTAATAAAAAAGGATAAATGCAAATTATTTTACTGCTCCACTTTTCAAGGAAAGATTGGAAAAATAATAAGTTTGTCTGCTTTAACTCTGTTTGGGTTAGGCCCGGAAATATTGATGTAATAAAAGGAAGATCAAGAATAATCAGGAATCACGATTTTAAATTACCACCACAACCTCAGTCGGGTTTTATACAAAGATAAACAGATGGATGACATAGAAACACAACGTCAACATTGACCTGGGATACTGCAATTAGACAACCCATCCTTTTATGAAATCGTGTTCAGTTGTGGTTACGTTTGGGGGTGCCTATATCAGCGCCCCCCAACGTGAAAATATCACTTTTATTTCAACTATGAATATATTGTAGTTTAAATTAACTAATATGGAATATTGCGATGTACATTTATTCAATGAGGGTGGGTAATTATCAAGGATAGAACTGATAACGGTATGGATATTAAACATTGATAATTACGTCATTAGCTTTACTAGCGTGTTTACTTTTTATATTTCTGCTACATGTGACCAGTTCTTTTTTTCAAATGAATGTTATTTGAACCAAACAGCTCTTTCAAAACAAACTGTTATTTTTTTACTTTTCTTTGGTTACACTTATTTATTTAGCAATTAATGCAGTTAAATTGATATAAAGGATAGGTGTGACGATTAGTTTTGATGTTAGGACACCAAAGTTAAATTATGTGTACTGTGAATTTTATTGGATATCGTTTTATTTTAGGTCGTTTCTATTCAGACCTACTGGAAATTGTGTATAGTAGTTGTATTGTGGTGATAATAATTATGGAAGAGGCAGGTATGCTATGGAAGGTTGTATCGTTGACTAGGTCTGTACACTTCTCAATACACTTCTCTCTACTGTAGGCTACTTATAATCAGTGTGCGTCTGTGCGAATCGCCTGCAAATCTCACTTCAACGCTTTTCACATCGTAAAAATTGCAGAATTGCTGTTTTATTGTAAAATTATTGGATTTAAAATGCATATCGTATAAGCCTATGATGGAATAAAAACATATTTGGTCACACAACATTCGTTTACAAGATGATTTTTCACATTAAAACTGCAAGAAACTTTGTCTTTATATGTGTAAACTAGCTGTGATCTGAATTGTACACGGTTTTAACTGACTACTGAATTCCCGTACGTAGGACGGGCTAACACCTCGTAAACTATAATATCAAATTTCAGTTGAGTTTGGCCGATTAAAGAAAAACTTACTCTTCAGGCTAGACTTGTGCTTTTCCCATTCTTTGGTTATGAGATAATATATTATATATTTATAAATAATATGACTATGTAAAAATATTATGATTAACTTATATGAAAAGAAATAAATAGACTTAATGTCTTATGAAATGTTTCCTATCACAACCTTTATGTGTAAGTAAATAGATTATGAGTCATGAGTTATAATATTTGTAGAATAAAGGAATAGTAGCTAGCTTACCTGTACAAGAAGTAGACCGTACAACTCATAGATAGCAAATAAACACACACTATTTTATCCCCTGGGGCGACAAAGAGAAAGGGAACATTTCCAAATGTAGAGAAACTCTTTCTCTTTCTCTACACTTCAAAAAATCTCTCAAAAAATAAATTATTGGTGTTTTATGAGTTTTCTGTGGGTTCAATGACTTACCTGTACTTTTTCTTAAGGTAAGTTAGCTGCTACAGTATCCTTTTATTCTACAAATCAAAATTCTGGTCTAGAGCCTTTTCTTAAACAAAATTATGTGTTAGATAATTTAAGATTGTTCCGGTAGGCTATTTGATGCCAGATTTGCTGATTATTGCAGAATATTTTGCAATCGACAGTTCATTCTGTTCTTGCAAAGTAGGGAGATGCAAACAAACTATTACAATTCAACAGAAACATAAAATTGTACTAGGGTAATACCAGGTACCTAATTGAAAAAATGGGCAAAACTAATTTATTTTAACTGAAGAATTTTTTTTTATTTAGTATTAATTTGCAGATGAATAATCTTTTATAACTTTTATAGAGATATATTAAAATGTTAAGTTTAAAAGATATTTGGAAACTACTCTAAATATTACTGCAGCTTCTGAAATTGTACAAAGTACTTTAAGAACAAGTTTGATCACATATTGAACTAGTGAAAAGTCTAAGTAACAATATTCTATGCAATAGTTTTACCATTGGGCAACTTTATTTCATTATGTTGCTAACGTTGGCTATTTCAATATCTTTGGCTGCTTCAGATTCATACAGTTTTTCCATTTCTGTCCCCTCAATCAGAACTCTCTTTTCTACGTAATCCTTTATCTTTTTCAACTCCTCAACTTGTTTTTCATACTGATAACGGCAGATGACCCTGGAAAAGCAACAAACGCTAAAGATAACGAATCGCTGTAAAATAATGACCTGTAATGAATTTAAAAACCTAGTTATACATTAAAAAAATATATTCTTAAAGACCCACTTAAAGAATATATTTAATCCATCATCTAATCCTCATTTCTATTTATTTATAAATAAAAGACACTACAGTCACACCTGTTGTCATTTTTACAGTTAGGATGAAACAAGTTACTAGAGTACAGCTTTATTTACTTAAGTCCTTTTATTTTTTGTTCTTTAAAAAAATAATATATATTGTCTATTCCTTACTGACTCTTGATCTTCATACTGAATAGAATCAGATTTAGGTGACGTGCAATAACTGATGCCAGTGACGATAAAGGCAGCAGGTCTACAGGCGGCTTTTGAAAAACTTAAATATTTTACATTTGGCAAACTATATGTGTTGGTATTTGCCTTTTTCTGAGCAAAGGTGCCCACACATATGTCACTTTCTTAGTATGGTCTTTGTTTGTAAAAAATTTCAATGTCAAAATGAATGTCAACTTTGGTATAAGGAGGTATTCTGATTAAATTATTTTAGCTGAAAGGGTATTTGTTAATGAATAAAAGGAACCTTAAGAAAATCTGGATGGGATCAGTAAATCTAAGCAGACACCGGTACAACAGTAAGTTTAAGCGATTGAGTTATCACGTTCACAGACACATGTATACATAGGTATATCTAAATACATTTGACTGATGTGAACATTTACTGTTTTTGTGCTCTGTGATCACCAAACCCAACAAGTTTAATCAATCTCAGGTCTAGGTGTTAACTTCAGTCATAGCTTCTTGCCTACATGGAGAAATTTGCTAAAAAGAACTAGAGCGAAATTCATTTTCCAGACTCCAAGCCGAAAGTCAAATGTGTACATCAGGCAGAGGTTCGCCTTTTCACAAAATATTCATGCTCAAGAATAGGGAAATGATGAGGAATAATGTTTGCCAACTGACTAGTAGAAGAACACCGACCTATACTTTCGGTCGAGATTTCGCGAATAGTTGCTCGGTGTGCAAATAGTAGGTAAAGTGACAGTAATTTTATGTCTGAAGATATAACTACACTGATTTATTCTCAAGATAGTACGTTTAAAGTTGGACCTGTTAATTTGGACTAGTTATGCGGAGTCATTAAGATTTGACTGAACTGAATTAAGATTCTAATCTAAAAAAACACTCTAAATTTAAGATTGAGGGCTTGAATCAATTCTTCCGTGACCAATTGCAAAATCTGGGAGTGGAGGGTGTTCTCTGATAGAGGATTTCATATAAGTTTGAAATCAATTCACTACGAGTATTAAAAGTAGATCAAGTAGTCAGGACCACAAGTTACAGCTGAACTCATCTTGAGTTGTAAATCTCATCACATTACACATTTGAACTTCCCCTTTGTTACTTAATATGCTGTATTAGTGTGGACTTTAGTAGGTTGTGTAGGCCTATAATTGTTACTGTTGTCGCTTCTGATGCTACCTATCCGTTGGAACAAAGTAACGGCTTATTTGGGATTAACCAAACTTGCAAGGAGACTGCTACGTGATTTTTTTGTCATTTTAGTCACAGCAACCAGGTTGTTGTCTAACATACTATAACACATTGCAACGACAGACAGGTAGCAAATACATGGTCTGCATCCATAACCATTGGGTTATTATCCTAGTGGACTAGTGTCTTGAGGTGAGAACTGAACTAGTGGTAAGACATGGGGTTTCAGTCCTCTTGGTTTAACCAATTCTCTTTATTTTGTGCCTTATAACACTTTACCAATCACCATGTGGAGCTCCCAGTGAAAGCAGCCCCATTAAAATTATGAGACTCATTTCATCCTAAAAAAGGGGGACTGTTGTAGAACACCTATGGCAAGGTCAGAGGTCGATTGCTTGCCAAATGTAGTCTCAAAAAATTAGAATATTTTTCATTAGCATGTCCCTAACCCCAATATCCGGTGTAGGCATATATTAAACAGCCTGGCAGCCATGATACAGTAGGAGAGTAATTTCATCTACACTTAGCTGAGTACTGCTCCCTAGGCATGATGTCCTTCTGGCTACTTGCAGGTATGACTTGTTAAGTGCCTGGCTCGAAATTTAGCTTTTACTGGTCCATGCTGATTGAGTCTGGTATTTAAGTGTTTTTAAAAGAATATGTTATCCAGTAACTAAAGGATAAAATAAATAGCACTTGTTTGTTGGTGAGTTTTATTTACCTCTAGCCATTACCCACGGGCTTCGCCCCGTTTGACTTCATAAGTATTAATAAAACTATTGATTGCCGTACCGGTTTGGGTGGTATTTCGAAAGGCTTTTCATGGTTACTTTGAAGAACAACATCAGACTTAATAAGCTGTCAGGGCAGAGCCCTAGTATAGTATTCAAATAAAAGACGACTTTATGTCCTACGCCTGTGGTTATACTGGCTCTACTCATGGAAAAATAAGCTCAATTGGTCGAGTAGTTTTCCACATTATTGACATACTCCAAACATTCATATCTATAATATTAGTTCCGCCTATCCAAGTGATTGACTTGATCAGTAATGTACTAAAATTATTAGCCCCGCTAATCCGTTTCCCAAGATTTTTTCTAGGGAAACAGACACAATACTTTTTAAAAAACTTTTGGAAAAAGGTCCACAAGTTAATGAATTATGCATTTAAAAAATGAAATCACCTTATTTGCACAATACTACAAATGATTTATTAAATTAAAAACATAAAGATAACATTAAACAATCCTAATTTGTAAGTTATCCTTGTGTATCGTTGTGTGTGGCTCTTTGCTGCTTAGTTCAAACATAGACAAAGAGAATAAAAACGCAGACCAGCAGCAGTGCTGCGGTTAGCATATGTTCCAGCGCCCACCCCTAAAATTGTCGTGTAGCTACGACGCACACCACTCCAGGCGACTTGAGGCGAGGAGCGCAGCTTCTGCTGGTAGCATACAGCTCCTGCGCTCCTTGCCTCGAGTCGCCTGCAGTGGTGTGCGCCGTAACTACACGTCACTCCTAGGGGTGGGCGCTGGAACCTTCCTTTGACAGTCTATATTTATTCTATTTGTCTATGGTTCAAATTAGCTTTTAGTGCTACACCCTGTTGGTAACTTTATAATGCTACTAGCTGTGTGCTCCTTCTACGCACGGGGATCTTATAGTATTCAGTTGAAACCTTCTAATATTAATATCAGCAGTTGGTTTGCATATTTTCAGATACGCTGGCAAAACTATTAGGTATACATAAACCTTCGCAAATACAGTATCTGACAGATCAAGCCAAAACAAATGCTTCGCAATTAAATGTCACCCGGATCGTGTTGGATATGGACATGTTAAATCTGATTATTAAACTAAAAAATGCTTTATAGATCCATGAGGCATAGCCCTTAGGTAGGCCTATAATTGAAAGTTACCTTCTACGGTTAAAAGTATTTTAAAGTACTACCTCAATCCCACCATTTAACACTTTATTCCGGTTGACATTTTCTTTATCAAAGGTGCTCTTATCCTTTCCGTGGAACACTGAGAAATAAGAACATTAATGCGTTATCAACATAGGCTACACAAAAAATACAGAATTCGATTAGGGAATTTGGTACGCTTTAAGCATAACAAAGTACATGTAAAATTAGTATTTGAAATATTTGTTAATGTCATCAAATTTTAGCATAACAATTAATATTTGCTTGGACCGAAGATGACCCGAAATGCTGTTGAAATGACGGCTTACTATATGAAATGAAGTACTATAGACAATTTAGATTGGTAATTTAGAATAAAAATTACCAAAATAGGCCACGTACTATTGATACATAAATATGATTGTATTATGATTTATGATCAGATTGTATTATTTGGTTAAACAAGGTTTTAAATGACTGAAATAGCAAGAAACAAATTGTAAACAAAACACAACCTCTACAGTTTACAGAAGTGTAGGTAGTGTACAGAACTAACAATAAAATTGGCTTCAGCTAACGTAAATAAGGATGAGAAATCTACGAAGGTAGTATGTTTTATGTTTTATCTATGGTTTCAGGCTGGATCCTAATGTCCAATTATGTGAAGGAAGAACATTAACAAGTTTAGACGATTCTTCAGATAGGGCTATTAACCACAAGTCCAATGATCAAGGATAGCTGTGACCAGTTTCCAACCATGAAAAAGTTTGTGCTTGCGACTTATCTCAAGATTGAACTTAGTGAAGTTTTATGACTAAGCATGAACTATACTCACTAAGCTACATCTATTCAAATTCAGAGCATTGTTCTGTTTAGTATTCAGATGACTATGATACTCCAAGTTTAAGTTTAGGTCCAGATTAATGAGGGGTTTTCTTTAATACCTTCATACCATGCATCCATTGTTGACCAGTAAATAGTGACTAGATTTTATCAAAATCTTTGTTTTAATACTTTGTAAAGAAATTACTGTTGTAGAACACCTGGCTAGGTCAGAAGCAATAGTTTGCTAAAGTAGGGCACATAAATTAAAATAGAATTTATTAATAATCCTTATAAGCTAACCTGGACTATCGACCACAAAACGTCATCAACCTCAATGTCCGGTGTAGGCCTATAAAAAACCGCCCGGTGGCTATGATTGGCATTATTAGATCTCGACTTACTGTCGAACACACATCTGACGTCCCCCTGGGCACGATGTCCCTCTGGTCGCTTCCAGGTATGTCTTGTTAGGTGTATGGCTCGTCCTATTAAATTTTGCTTCGACACAGTAGTTAATCTAAAGTTGAGTTCTGATGTTTTAGTGTATTTTAATATTGAGTTGTACCTATGTTTGTACCATTAATTTTTGGGGAGTAATAAAGACCACTTGTTTGTCACTTGAGAGCTTATTTCACCCCTGGATCACCTACCTCGACATTACCCTACCGTTACCGGTACCTGTTTATACATATGCTACATTTTGCATGAAACACTACTATGACTATTGTAATGAAAATTAAATTACTTCTTTGGGACAAAACATGTCTTTCACAGATTTTTATTGTTTTAGGCCTAACATAGGCTATATGCTTATAGAGACTTCACTGTCAGTTGTCTAGTCTAGATAGGCCTAACTTAAATATTTGTATTTTTAAACTGTTACTTACCAATATGCTCCTGTTACAATCATGGTAGAAGTGAAACCAAAGTGAGTAGCTACTTTAGGCTTACTTGTGAACAAAAAGTAAAGCAAACCGCTTCCGATACCACTTGATATACCATAGAGCCAACTGTTGCGAAAACATGGAATTGTTGAAACATCTCTTCCAAAAAGCATGATCCTCTAAAAAACAAAAAAAAAACACACAATCAGTATATTTTATAATACCAAGCTCATTTAAATAGGCTAAATAAGTAATAAGTTAATAATAGACTATTTTTTTGAGAAGTTACGGTAGCCTGCATCAATATGTAAGCAAAATCATTCTGCGGTGGAATTAGCCTGTTAAAAAGCTAAAATAAAATGCTAATATAAACTTAGACTACCTGGATACATTAGAAAGGAAGGTTTTGGACTTAAACTGCATTTAATTCCTCTACGATTAAGAACAGTGAGGTATTAACTTAATTTGAGCTTGGAGTATATCGTACATCCTAAGACACAGAAAAGTCAGATACAAAGAAAATACGCTTTAATGGGGTACGGTAACTTTGCGTTTTCAACTCTGGAAGCTTATGTTGTGCCGGAAATATACTTATGGCGAGCAAGGATAAGCCCGAGCGGCAAGCACTGTACAGAAATTCCTATCGCACAGGGTCTTCCTCCACTGTGAGCGTTAGTACATGAGGGCAAGGAGAGCAGTGTTGGGCTTAGCCCTAGACACTACTTAAAGCTTCATTTACACTGAAGCCAGTACCATAATTCTCATAGACTTTTCACAAACACAAGTCATCAACACAAGTCACTGACAGATAATGTTGTACTTTTGTTTTGGTCAGTGGCATATTGTATCTCACATCTTGTCCGCAACGCTACGCCACCAGTACTGAGTGTTCCGTGCTCAGTAGTGAAGACAATGGTAGGAGAGGATGAGTTGGTTCTCGCTGCAGCGTACGTTATTATTTTGTCAAAAAAAAAAAAAAAAAAAAAAAAAACGTAGGAGGTATTGGGTTTAACTCGATAATAATTGAAAGGCAACAAAATTGCCAAAATGCCTTCCCTTAACTTGTTTACGACCGATTAAAACTTATTAGCCCAATTACAAAATTTAACTAGGGCTACAGTTTCTTAGCTGGGCTATGCTTATGCTAGGCCTAACACAGATTGAAACTAAGCTACTGATTCGATTAGTCTTCATTCCATTTTTCATTATCATCAAGTTTGGTTAGGTACGTTAGGTTACGATGATATCATTTTATAATTGATATAGCATAATTAAAATATTGATTATTAATCGATATTTTCAATCGATACAGTTAAGAAACTGTGTCCCCCCAGGAGGTTAGGCCTGTAAGGGACAAGGGGTAGTACACGGTACTTACATTGTCTGTTTCATCATTTTCTTTATCCATGATGGTTTCAAAATATTCGAGAACGACTTGAGGGAATACAAATAAAAGCTTAAATTTGCTAAAAACTTTTGATGTCGATCAGTCAGAAAATATCTCGTTACATAAACGGTTATGGGTTATGTTGTGCTATGATGATGTTTCTTATGGTTTTTTCTTATTCTTTCATAATAAATCAGCTGTTTGGTTAGTTCGCAGCTGCTTTGCTTTTATCTTTTTTTCAGCCCTTAAGCTTGACTTGCCGTTTTACTATGCAGTCAAGTTCTACATTATTGTCCTCGTATCAGACCCCTTCATTTTGCCATAGATTAAACACTTACCAACAGCGAAGCAAAGCTTAAGCCTTAAACGCTTCCATTACTTACCATTATAATTTTGTCATGTGCTTGTGCTTAAGTGGAGGGATGCACATAGGTTCAATCTTGTAAAACTGTGTTACAACAAAAAAACCGTAACAAAACAAATTTTCAACTGACTACTGAGCCACTAGGGGGTAGTAAGACGTGACGAAGGCATAGGATGGCGTATAGTGTCGGGATAACGGGGATGCGCGCAGCAATTTTAAGGCAATTTTTCAAATTAAAGTTTGAAACAATTAATAAAAAAACCTGATTCTCGGGGGGGGGGGGGCAAGAAACCCAATTTCTGCAGTTTGTCTTGCATTTTGGTAGCTCGACCCTGATTCGATATAGGGTCTTCCACACCGTGCAATGTAGGTCTCCACCAGGAGCCAGTTCCTCCCTGGCTGGTATGGGAGGGTTAGTCAACTTGGCCTCCCACCTTGCCACCCGATTGCTTGAGAGTGATCCATCCAGGACTCGTGTCCGTGATAAAAAGCTCTTTCTGGACCGAAGCCGTCGCTCTGCACGTTGGTGGCCGTGTAATATGGGTGACGAGGGTCTGTCTCTTGCTTAGTCCTTTCTGAGTCTGCAGCGAGATCGCGGCGGATTGATGGAGGGGTGATCCCTATGATAGGATAGAGTTTGTGTACTGGGGTTGGTTTCAAACACCCAGTTACAATCCGAGCCATGTCATTGACTGCAATGTCAACCTTTTTTGCATGTGACGATGCATTCCATACTGGTGCAGCATACTCCGCAGCCAACACACTGAGCGCTAAAGCTGAGGTTCTGAGGACATTAGGGTTAGCACCCCAGCAGATGCTGGTGAGCTTCCTGATGATATTATTCCTCGCTGAGACTTTACCTCTTGTCGCAATACAATGCGCCTTAAATGTCAGTGTGCGGTTCAGTATGACACCGAGATATTTGGTTGTAGGACAATGCTGAAGACGGTCTCCCCGCCACCTCACATTCAACTCACGGCCTGCTTCTCTATTGTTTAGGTGAAAGGCACAAACTTGGGTCTTAGCAGGGTTCGGCTTGAGGGGATTTGCGTCATAGTACTGGGAAAGTTCATTAACACGTTCGCTGCGGCACGTCAAATAGCGGGCGTATCCCCAGTGCGGCGCAGCCCTCAGCGTCGAGTAAACCCGATGGCCGCGTGTGATTGGCCTTTTCAATTTTGGTCTGACGAATAGCAAATAACGTGAGGGGATGTCCTGCTTTACAACGAGAGTCGATGTAGTTCGCTAAACACCCACAGATAGCAGCACTGCTTGGAACGTAGCCGGTCCCATTGGAATTGTATTGCCAAATGGAGGGAAAAAGACGGGACAAAAAGAAGACTTTTGAGATTGCCAGACGGGAATTTTACGGGGAAATTTACTACCAACCTACACCACAACAAAATGCAAGTCACTTACTACACGCTAACGTCGTATAGGTCCGCTTTCGGCCGACGCTAGAGCAAAAACGAAGATATACAAAAGTCTTTACCGAGCGTTCCCGATGGGGTACGGACGCACCGTACGGGGGCCAAGCGCCGTACCCGATCGGGAACGGCCGCACTCTACGTGTTAAGAGTCATAGTCAGCTTCTGTTCCACCCCTTCAAAACTCCTACCTTGTGCCGCCATCGCCGTATCTTTGGCATATATATACTGACGTGTAGCGTTTGGCAACGGTTGGTCGTTCATCTATCAGCATGAATGTCCGGTATAAGTCTTATTTAATCTCACTTATAAGACTATGTGGTCCATGGATTAAACGCGGAATTAAACATATATTTTCACGGTTGTGAATTTAATCAGAACACATCAAACTATAAAAAACCTAGAGTGTACGGCCCGGATTTTAACCCCCGGAATTTTACCCCCCGGATTTTTACCCCCGGATTTTTACCCCCGGAATTTTACTCCCGGATTTTTACCCCCGGAATTTTACCCCCTGGCCAGATATATAAATTAGTGAGAATTATTAATTATCTTCATTCTGTTTTAATTTAATAGTAAACATTTTATTATTGAGTAGCCTATAATTTATTTTTTAAATTAACTAATCGAACAGGTTTTTAATTTTACGTTTGAGATTCTAGTATCAGGATTCGATCTTTGAAGGCAACAGTTGGTTAATATGACGTATAAACAATCAACTGAATGATAATTGTTTCGAACATTTATTTACAAAATAAATAAATAAAGATAGGCTACTAAATAATTAAATGTTTACAATTAATTAAAAACAGAAATAAGAAAATCAATAATTCAATTTCTAAAATCGGCCAGGGGGTAAAATTCCGGGGGGTAAAAATCCGGCCCGTACATCTTCAGTTGTCTAAATGCTAGTTATATGGACAGGGGGTAAAATTCCGGTTTTTATCGCTAATCTAATTAATCATGCTCTGGCTATTTTCATTAGACTTCCAAATCCGCGGCGGTAAAATTCCGGCCGCGAACAAACTTTTGGCCACTCAGGTTACTACGTCATAGTGACGTCAGCTTTGCCCAGGGGGTAAAATTCCAGGGGGATAAAATTCCGGCGACCCTTATTAAGTTATGCCTTTATCTTTACACCATGAATGTGAGTAGTATAGTAGGTATGGAAAAGACATGAACTTAGTGTGCAAAAAATCTGTTAGGGCCTAATACCTTTCTTTTTTCACTACGAGACACACCTTGTTTAGCAACTTATAAATGATTCTAAAAGTATAGAAAAAAATAAAATAGAGTAAGCAGATTTAATCTTTGTTCGCCTCCAATGTATTTCGTAATTATTTAACGAATATTTACGAGCTTCCAATCCTGATAAATAGGTAGAAGATTTAACAAGGCGTAAATCCTTGGTATTGTGCTATAAATTATGGGCTGTCCTGATGTAACGATATCTTATGAGACACCGTGCTGCTTCTTGTCGTTGTGGTATTTAATGTTCCGTTACAATGTTCGAATAACTATTGCCGCTTTTAGTAAACTGAAATTTTTTTTGTATAAATAATTATCAATACCAATCATATCTAGCTAGCTTTTCTATTAGCTTCCCTATAAGTATTAGCTATGTGGTTTACGTTAGCAAATGGATCAAGAAGTTTAGAATTACCTTTTATTCAGGATTATCCTCTATACAGACCATGGAGTGTACAAAGAGTAACCCATTTTTATATAACTGTTTCAATATAGACCTAAGAAGCTTTTAAATATAACTGTTTGTTATGTATATAAACAAACAAAGTAGGCCTAAAATAATACAGTACTTTAGTAAGATGAAAAACCATGTCTTAAAAATAGGTACATTTTTATGTTGATTGACACCTTTATTGAACATGTATGTTCAATAATCATTTTAGTTGTATTACATAAAATGCTTTAGAGAAAAACTTTAGATATCATGTATATTGGGAGGGGAGGCATTTTCTTGATTTGTTTCCTTGAAATGCTGCCGGTATATATAAAATAAATTACTGTTCTTCTAGCTGAGGATAGATTTATGGAGAAAATTGAACACCAATCGGCGACTTTGAATTCATCAGTTTCTGAGACCAGTCACTAGAGAACGCTTCATCGTCACTATGAGGGGAAGATAATCAATTAATATTTTTATAATAAGCCATTTTATTACAAGTCCACTTAACAGTTTTCATTAATACATACTACAGGTCGTCCGGTGGTCGAAAACTCGACTAAATATGTAATACTAGCTGTGTGTCCGTTCTACGTACGGGGATCTTAGTCAGTTGAATGTAACAAAAATCCCACAATGTTGGGTTTTTGGACAATTGTAATTATATTTCTGAAGTAGGTAGGCCATGTATTCTATGGAAAATTACTGGTATCAAGGATCGTCGTCGAAAAGGTTGTTAGGTGAATAAATAGGTAGGCGTACGTGCCCAAGAGATGGGCTATGGGCCTATTTGCTGTATGGTCCAGCAATTGCATTACACGGTGAGTAGAAACAGAAAGTGACACATTGGAAACGCGAGTTTAGCATCATCCGTAAACCTCTGTTACAATCACCCACTGCTGCAGTTGCGATTTTTTTACTTTACACTTTACTCAATCGCCATTGAAGCGCCGTCAATCAACGGAAACCTTGTTTGTAAGCTATTGGCGACAATCATTAAGTGTCCCAGCCATACAACACTGATTCAAGGTCTTTTTTCTGGTTATCAAAACTCAAGAACAATCAATAATAATCAATAATCAATCGTTGAGATGGGGACGCCACCTAGGTGCGTATTTTAACCCAAATATGAGTGAACAATTTTATACACAAAGAATTTCTGATTCCTGGTCTGGATGATGCCTAGTTAATTAATTTCATTTACGGTTACACTATGATATTGCACTTATTGCGATTAATTAAATCCGTTATGTAAGAAAAACGTTTTTAATCTCACTTGGTTGGGATTTTCCACTTTCAAAACGTGATTCGAAATGGTTGCGGTATTTGTAAACAACATTTGTAAACATATTAGTGACAGCTAGAAAAAATAATCTTGATCAGAACAGCTGTTCGTTATTTCATATACGATTATGTGATAAAAATTGAACGAAAATTTGACAAAAATCGCACAAAACTGCATTTTTGAACGTCCATAATTTTATTTACAAAGTAGTGAGGTCACATTTTAATCACTAAAGACACTCTCGTCAATCCAGTGAATACATTAAAATGACTTGGATCTTGATAGGTACTCTCGTTTTCACGGAGAAGATTGCGTAAAATGCCATCTTGAGTGTTACAGACAGACAGACAGAAATAGATATAAGACTTGTTTCTGCTTCTTTAATGCATAAAACATAAAAATAACCT